AAAAAAAAAAAAAATAGCAATCAATAGTTATAGAGCAAAATACAAGCCAATTGGAAAGCTATTTTGAATTCAATATTTACCACAGCCAGATTTTGCCTTGATGATGTAGCCATGAAGGCAATTATCGAGACAGCTGACCAACTCAGGAAGCAAAACTGGATGCATTGGTATTGGTAACAAAAAGAATGCTTCCAAAGTCTCGTCTATGATACGTAAAACTTCCACTGCAGAGGGAGCAAAGTGCCCTGCATTTGATTGAGTGTCCCAAACCTATAACAAGAACAAGTTGTTAACAAAACTTATCAGGGGCTAAAAATAACATTAGCAGTTCTACTTGGCAGTTAAATATAACAAATTCGGCTTTCATGAAATTTTAACAGAATAAACAGTACAGGAATGGGACACAATGATATTGCAAAAGTACGAATTTGAGAAACCAATATTTTCCAGAATATAAAGATATAAATTATATTATTATACCAATAGACAGAACAAACAATTTAATTTCATCACAGAAAATGGGAATGGAAACCAGTACTAGCCAGAAAGGATAACTCCATCTATAGACATCAGAAGCAATGGGTGCATTTTACCAATCAAAACAGTAAGAAACCCTGAAAAATTATCCCTTTGTAATATACAAATTAAAAATTTCTCTCTCCTACGTATATTGTTCCATCAATGTTAGGTGGAAAAATAGAAAGTGAAAGGTATCATGACTGTTTTAGTAGGGGCATATAGATTGCCACCCCACCAATATGCTTTCCATTCCAAAAGTTGATTTTTTTTTTTTTTAAATTAATTTATTTATTTTATGTGTAAGATTTCAAACTACATATAACAAGAACTAACTTTTAGAAACTTATTCTATATTTCAAGATGCATATAGACTCCGTTTGGCAAAACTTATAAACCATTTATAAATTATCTAATTTCATTTTCAACCACTCATTCAATGGACCCACAAGACTATCTACTTATACACTACTCATTTTTATCTATTTATAAATTAAACCCTTTAGAAATTTTTCCCAGATGGAGGCGTGGTCAATTGAAAAGAAAATTGAAGGAACAAAGAAGGAAAAAGACCTCTTGTAACTGAGCTCTCTCAATCCACTGTTTGAGTCTGTCTACTCTTGTACGTATCCAGGATTTCACCAGGTTTGCAATCACAGTTTCTGTTTCATATGGGCTCATCTCCTGAATTATTGCCTTCCCACCATCTTCACTGTCTACTGAATCAGCAACAGCCATTTCTACAAGATCCTTTTCAAGTTTTTCGGCAGCTAGCAA